AAGAGACCTATTCCACTTATAAAATCCTCGCCGAATGAGAGCTTGTTTCTTTGATGAAGAAAAGCATATTCGGGGAAATTCTGACTAAAAATCATCATCCAACTACAAATCAGAATCAAGGAATACCCGCCTCTTATTCCCCAGTGAATGGATTGCTGAAACTTCGACGGAGAACAGCGGATGAGATCACATTATATACTAGGATAGTTACGAGCACGAGCTGATAACCTGAGAAAGCAGAGAACTTCCATCAACAAGGGGGGAGAACGTTGCTTCACGCTACATCCCAAATGGGCATAGAAGCTGTTTTGCTGTTGTGCTAGAATAGGGTTAGTTAGTTCGAATCAAAAGTGGAGGCTAAAACAGAAAAATTCCCTACTCACTCGAACTACTTCCTTCTTCTACACAAGTAGGCAAGGAAAGCGGAGCTTCCCATAACCTTGTTCCGACGTCCACTCCTAAACCAAGCCCTTAGTCAAAGTCCAAGGGTCTCACACTAGTAGCTCAGAGAAGCTCAATTCGAACCAGTCGAAGTAACCCGTCTTCCCTTGCTGCTCGGTTGTCATAGGAAGTGCGTGGTCATACTTTCTTCCAAATACAGCTAACGAAATGCGAATGCTTCAACGCACTTTTCCGTTCCACAAGCAGTTGAAGAGCCAGCTCAAGCCGACCCCAATGGAAAAAGGAAAGAGGATGCATTCACACTGACAGGACATTCAAAGCTATCCTTCAAACAGCACTTTGAAGTAGACGTCCCTTCCACAAGAAAGCATAACACAGCCTAAATGAAAACCATTATTGATAAGGCAGCAGGTTCCAACACACGTCTCGCTGGGGGTCTTTCCTTTCCAGACTTTTGGCTAGCGAGAAAGTCCGGTACGAAATGAGGATCTCCCAATATAGAATGTGTGAAGTGAGCGATCGCACTTGGAGAACAGGGACAGTGTCAAGTGAACGAGAAAAGGCAAACATGCTAGCGTTCTTGGCCAACCGATCCCATGCCATGCCTTTACTTTTCAATGTCACTAGGAAGATTGATGAATAACTACTTCCAACTCCTGGGCCTCATAAAAGGCAGCAAAACCTTAGATTTACGCATCAATTGTGCACAAACCCTGTAAGAGGGATCAAAAGGACATTTTCCAGGCTTTTCATGGCAGCAAATACGGCTCTTTCTTCACTCTGTTTGGTCCAAGATTGATGGTGTTGCAGATTATTTAAGTTTGAGTTCTTTCATTTATGGAAGTGTAGAAATGATTTTGATTTGAATGGGGTTAAGTGGGAACCTTCTCGAATTTTGGAAAGAGGCATTTTTCATTTATATGAATGGAAAGGTCATGATGTGCAAGATAATGCTTTTGAAGTCCGTTAGCCCTCATGCTCCTGTAAGGTGGTCAGCTCCAGACATGGGAAGTTTGAAAATGAATGTGGATGCCTCTTTTACTGAGCATACCAGATCTTGTGGGGGTGGCTTGGTTCTAAGGGATCATGGTGGTAGAGCTATCAAGGTGGTCACCATTTTGATTCAGAATTGACGTGGTCCAGAAGCTGCTGTTCTTAAGGAGAGCTTCAAGATTTTGATGCATTGGGGGTGATCGTAATTGAGGGTGATTGCACAAACAAGTCATGGAACTTGAGCCTGTGGACAATTTAGCTGCTGTCATCTGCGAAGACATAAGATTCTGGATTCTGCTACAAATTGGAGATGGAGTTGGTGTCCTAGATATTGTAATAGGGTGGCTCACAATTGGAGTCAATGGGCTATTCAACATCAAAAGAGGAGAAGTTGACTAGGATATATGGCCCAGTAGTCACTATTTTCTCTGAACCAATATTGACTTTCTCCTTTTTCTGATTGAATGGCATTAGCTTTTTGGAAAAAAACCATTCGCAGCCAAAGTGATAGCGGCTGTAGCATCCACCGGTAATGTGTGGAAGGGGGTAAGCTTTCTATGTGGATAGGACGTATCAACACCTTTTGCATCTTTTAAAGGAAATAGATAAGAAGAATATTGCGTTGGGTCCTGAGGACCAGAATGGCCGAAGATCAAAACCTAAATCAGGGGTTGATCATCGAAGCCAGAGGGCAATAACGATGAAGGAATTTGAGCGCTGATGTAGCTCTAACAGCCACCTTGAATAGTCGATTCATTAGGGGGTCGTCGCCTTCTACCCAACTAGTGGAAGTATCCGCCCTTTTCTTTGTCTGTTAAGCCTCACAGCTATGGGACTTCCTAAATAAAACTGCAATCGCTGTTTATCAACCACTCACAAGACCACCGAGATCTTCGACTTAGCTCCCATAATCCACCCGGCGGCTCTTCCCCAACCTATACAATTAGAATAGGGCGGAAGATAATGAAAGGGAGACAAAGTCCTAACTAAATAATCACACAAGCTACCCATGTAATCTATCATCTCAGTCGAGTCGATCCGATTCCTTCTTATCTATAGATAACGCAAGAGAGAACTTATGACCTCGCGGATGGAGAGGGATTCGAACCCCCGGTATTCCTATCAATACTTCGGTTTTCAAGACCGACTCTTTCAACCGCTCAGACATCCATCCCCTTCGCGCTCCGCCCGCCCTATCTATCCGCGCGCTGGCAGGTAGGGGCTTCTCTATGTGATTCGCTACGCTTGCTTGCGCCTATCGGCGGATTCTATTGCCTGCCCGCCGATTAGCAAAACTTTTCCGGTAGTACGAATCGATACGCTTGTTTCTATATGATAATATGTACCTTGGTTGCTGCGCTCCCTGTGGGTAATAGCAAGAGAGTGAAGAATGAATGATCTTCCAAACAAAAAGAGTGACTGACTCCGACTGAAGCGAGTGAGTGAAAGGCATGGCAAGAGAGCGAGTTCGACTCGCGAACGATCAGCAAGTGAAGGACCGGTCATTTTGCGCCAATACTGTTGCGAGACTGGTACTTGGCGGCTCACGAGCATTTATTTCATCACTCCCTCGCTCTTTTTTGAAGGCCTTTTCTATTCTCTTTCTTAAAGCTCGAAAGCTGCTCAAGACTCTCCCGCGTCGGCATAGGGCGATGCTCGGTAAGACCCTTTTCGGTAATATAGTAGCAGCCTTTCTCTTTACATTTTCTTGGCTATGAGTTATCTCTTTCCTCTCCAATTTTGTTCTGACTTCTTCCTTTTACATTACTAATGGATATTCAAAGTTCTTAGTCTGGTCCCGGAATATTAGTATCTGAGCCCCTCCCCTCATTTGCAGAAAGCTTTTCAAAGCAAAGAAGAGCATTCCCTATAAGGTTCGGGTCAATATCTGGCCAAGAAAGCCTTATGAATGAAATGCAAGACAAGTTCATAGCTAGATAAAAGAAAGAGGGAAGTCTTCTTAATTTGTTAAGAATTTATCCCTGAACTTAGGGAAATGCGCAAAGCTCGCTTTTTCGTCTTTGCCCGCATCTTCTTCACCAGCAGTAGAGGCTGGAGCGTACCTACCCGGCAAGGAATGAGCCGACTACGAGTCCTGTTCGAGTACTGTGTGTTTAGGCCAAACCAATCCTCTTTGATTGCTGTGAAGGGCTTCTAGAATCAGACTCTAGAATGCAGTTGAGGTCAAAGCATCGAATCAGAGAATGGAAGGCGCATAGTCTTCAGACACGCCCAACTCTCAGGATTTGGGCTCTTTTTTTTGGCCAGAAGCGGGTAAGAATGACTTATATAGGGGCACTAGTGGATTCACATGCAAAAGATGAAACCTTGATTTCCGAAAAGTCTGGAATGGAGAGGGCAGTCAAGCACGAAGCAAATCGGCATAATAGAA